GAGAGAGAGAGAGAGAGAGAGAGAGAGAGAGAGAGAGAGAGAGAGAGATGAATAGGGTGTTGGGGGGTGGGGTGGGATATAATAATAATTAAATTAATAATTCTTAATTAGCACCTGGTTTATAAATTTAAAATTAATCCCCTTTGTTTTTGAATTGTAAACTTGAGATGTAAGGTTTTTGGTAATTTTTTTCTTATATTTTTCATATGTATTTCGATCCATTATGAAATACAACCCAAATAAATTCAATCTCTACACGTAATTAGGCATATACTTTATTTAGATGTCCAAAGCTCAATAACTTTAATTTTTTCTTAAAGCACTTTAAATGGCTTAATCTTAAGATAGCATTTTATACACAATTAATTACATATATAGATTCACATGATAAATTAAAATACAACCGTTAAAACTTTAAAGAAAGTATTCGAATATAACACATGGAGTCTTTAAGTTTAAGTTTCTCAGTCATCTATTTATACATTCTTCCTAGCTAATTATTTGATACAAAAAAGAATTCGACATAGCTAGACGAGGGAGTTTAAATCAATATATTTATTTCCTCTTAAGAAATTTAAATTTTTGAATAAGATATCAATGCAATATATAAAAGGTTAGTGTTCCAAAAATACGTATTTTTAATGTATATATATTATCCACAATTAATTCTTAATCCACTTTCTAAACACCTATTCATAAAAACTCCCCTCCACCAAATAAAAACAAACAAAAATAAACACAAGGTGTCGCGAAAATTTCGGGCCATCCCCTCATTTGAACAATTCCCAAGGCACATATGTGCCGATCCCACCGCCGCTGCATGAGCCACCACAATACGTATATAAACTTACTGCACCACCACCACCTCCTCCTCCTCCTCAGCCCTTACTCTCCTTTCTAACGCTCTCTCTCTCTCTCTCTATACCCATCGCCTTCTCTCTCTAAAATGGATACTTCTGCAACCCATCTTCTGAAAGATGAGCTCGATATAGTGATACCCACTATTAGGAATCTTGATTTCTTGGAAATGTGGAGGCCATTTTTTGAGCCTTATCATTTGATCATAGTGCAAGATGGTGACCCATCAAGGACAATCAAGGTCCCTGATGGCTTTGATTATGAGTTGTATAATCGAAATGATATCAATAAGATTTTGGGTCCTAAGGCTTCCTGCATTTCCTTCAAGGATTCTGCCTGCAGATGCTTTGGGTATATGGTCTCCAAGAAGAAGTATATCTTCACCATTGATGATGATTGCTTTGTATGTTTTCGAAAATTTGACTTCTTTTTCTTCGTAATTTCATGTTTAAATATCGAGTTTTATAATACATCGTTTGAGTACAGCAATCTGAGAATGATCGTTTGAACTTAGGATGGAACATTTGTCGTTTTCATAATTAAGGGATGTGGAAATCTACCTTCACATTAAACTCTAGATGTTTGATGATCTTGTTCTTAATTATGTATGCATGAATACATGATTGAACATGTATTGCTGGTAACTTAGGGTTCTATGATTTGCTTTGTTGGCTAATTGAGACTAATATTTCTTTAATTTGATGTGCTGAACCTTGAATTTTCTGTTCTTCAGTTTGATTTATTTCCTAATTAAAACTCAATTTTCGATTTAACATTATGGTTAAGAATTAAAGGTCTGTAACCATGGTTAAGAACATGTGTCTAGTATACTTTACATCACTCTCCCGAAAAAGCCGATACTTAAGGGTAAGTGACGTCAATGTCCTTGCAACATTGGCATCACGTTAGACACTTCTTTGTGGGGAATCCTCAATCTTGACACGTGTCCTGAAAATTACTACTTCTAGTAATAGACTGGTTTCATGAGTCAGTCAACTAGGAAAATGTCTTAATTCGTAGATTAATGAAAATTTTATAAACTCCTAGGTTGCGAAAGACCCTTCTGGCAAAGAAATCAATGCCCTTTCACAGCATATCAAGAATCTACTCTGCCCTTCAACACCAAATTTCTTTAATACCTTGTATGATCCTTTCCGTGAGGGTGCGGATTTTGTTCGTGGATATCCTTTCAGCCTTCGTGAGGGTGTGCCAACAGCTGTTTCTCATGGCCTCTGGATGAACATTCCTGATTATGATGCACCTACACAACTCGTGAAGCCTCTTGAGAGGAATAAACGGTACCCCCATAATTTTAATACGAAACTAATGTACCATTTTCAAGTTAACATTCTTCTTTTACATGTTCATTTGAAGCATGATTCTTGACTTTGTTAATTTCTTGTTTTTTTAGGTACGTTGATGCAGTCTTGACAATACCAAAGGGCACCCTCTTTCCCATGTGTGGAATGAATTTGGCATTCGACCGTGATCTTATTGGCCCTGCAATGTACTTTGGACTCATGGGAGATGGCCAACCGATTGGCCGCTATGACGATATGTGGGCTGGCTGGTGTGTCAAGGTACAATCTTTACAGATTTCTTAGGGCCTATTTGGCATAGATTTTGAAAAGCTACTTCTGAACCGTTTGGCCAATTTTATGAAAAGGGATTCTTCTAATTAGAAGAATTTTTAGATGAAGATGGTTTAATGTAACTTCTTCTAAAATCACTTTCGAAATAGGAAGCTCTTTTAAAAATTGGTTTCCAAACAAAAAGAGCACTCAATACAAGAGTCGAGGCCCCTAGACCAGCTCCTAGTAATGATTTTATGATGGATTTTTCGAATCACAACAAGATTGCCATCATATCTAGCTTTTATAAATTCAGGATCCCCAAAGAAGTCCTCACGAAAGGAACGTCGACAATATTGCTTGGGGATGATAAATTATATCTTCCTCAAATTCATTTTCAGAATGAAAATCTTTCAAGGCAAAAGATAAAAGTCTAGATTTCCAAATTTAAATGAGAAGAAACAACTCTAAAGGGTTGTTAATGAAAACCAAATGTGCCTTCCAAGCAAACAATACAACAAACAACACTTGTCCCTCATAAATTTAGGGTCGACTACACGAATCATTGTTCACCTCTCCGTTCAAAGTACTCGTTAAGTTGCTATTTCTGATCCTTTTTCTCGATTCTGTAGGTGATATGTGATCATCTAGGATTGGGAGTCAAAACCGGGCTGCCGTACATATGGCACAGCAAAGCTAGCAACCCATTTGTGAACCTAAAAAAGGAATACCATGGCATCTTCTGGCAAGAAGAAATCATTCCATTCTTCCAAGCAGCAACTCTTTCAAAGGACAGCACAACTGTTCAGAAATGCCATGTTGAACTGTCCAAACAAGTCAAAGAAAAACTTGGCAAAATAGACCCTTATTTTGTGAAGCTTGCAGATGCAATGGTCACATGGATCGAAGCTTGGGACGAACTCAACCCCGCTACGGATTCTGGCAAGAAATAGATCAGAATTGGCCTCATGTTTCTGATTATAGTCTCTAAATTATAACGTGCAAGTAAGTTTTTGATGTATTTTGTGTTATGTTTGTATTTGATTTCTTGGTTACTCGGTAGATCTTCGGTAGGATTTACAGCTTGTTGGTGTATTTTTCTTTAGCATGTTAGCAGTAAAACTGGAAACGATGAGCCGTCAGATGTTAGGAGTTTTCTTGTTCCAATTGGGCAGCCTAAAAAGCTGCTATTCGGAAGCAAATTAAAAATGTTTTGTAATATGAAATACATATTGAATAAGTCCACGTTGGCCCCATAAAAATTATAATCCATTTTTTTAATCTTCTTATTAACTACACATTTTTCAGTAAAATAATATTCCTCGTAAATCCAAAAATTGTAATCTCAAATAATAGAAAATAATGGGGGCAAACGGGGGCTAAATTAGTCCAAGTTGTCTTCTCGTTGATCTATTTGATATGAGATCTACTCTCCATTTTGTTGTCCAAATAGCGTTCATCCGATGATTTATTGTTATGTCATCAATTTTATTAGTAAGGGGTAAAGTTAATGATGATCAATTTGAAACGATATATTAATTATTGACGACATGGACTGCCATTTAAACAACAGATCTCAACTCGATCTATAGTATGTTTGGCTAAGCTTAAAATCTCCTTAAAAGCGTCCCATATGTGGGCTGTCATTATTTTCTTTATATGTGCAGTTCTTGAATCAGTCTCATCGCTCTCGATAGGCTTTCCTCGATTGCTTTTGATGTTTTGAACACTAAGTTGTGAGCTATTTGATCGAAATCTATTTTTCGACTTGATATATGATTCAGATTACACAAAATTGAAACTTGCAAAAGAAATTCTTTAATCTGCGAAGAAACGGGGCCCAAAGAGAACTTGAATTGTCAACCTAAAAATTTGTTTAATCTGGTTAATTATTCATATTGGCAATATACTGAATTTAAAATTTTGTTTTGTTTTCTTTTTATTGTGCAAATAAACTTATGCTGTTCTTTATAAATTTAAGACAAACAAAGAATTAAAATTTATTAAATAGTATTTCTAGAATGTTTCAAAAGTAATTTCATTTTAAGAAATCTATTTAAAAAATTAAAACTGACATTTTAAAATTAATAAATTATTAATTAAACAAGACGGTAAATAAAAATTATTTAATATCTCATAAATTTAAAATCATTCGTTCAGTTTATAGCCGCGGTCACTTCCTCATAACAGTCTGAGCATAAACCTTAACAAAAGATTGTAATCTGTATAATCTGAATTCATGAAGGGGGGATGCGATCATAGCCTGTCCACAGCATCTAATTAATTTGTAAATACATATATCATTTCTCGATTTTCTTCTTTTCCAAAATAAAAATAAAAATAAAAATAAAAATAGAGTAAATGTGCAAAACAAAAACAAGACGTGCAAAAACAGAATCATAAAATTTAAACAAAATTGGAATTGCTCTTTCAAGACTCCAACAATTGGCACATGAGAATGATCCTTTCGCATTCTGTATCTCTCACGATTGAATAGAACATGAACCATTGCTTAGCGTCTCTGCAAAGCAAATGCAGCACGGGGAACATTGGTATTGGATGAAGGTATGCATATTATTATGAATTACGAGGGGGGTCATCTGCCTTCTTACGCTTGGTAGGGGGCTCTTCAGCTTCTTCGTGGTTGTTTATGCCATTTACCGCCTCGGGACCCAAAAGAGAAACGTGCTTGCTGGTGATCTGACGACCAGCCCTGAGCTTTGGTCCCCAATGTCTTTCAGGATTCGGAAGGAATCGTGCAACCTTTTTGGCTTGTGCTTTGCTAAGAGACGCTACAGCTCTTGCAAAATTAGCCTGCAAGGGAAAAAGGCAATTACACCTTTTCAGCTTGCTTGGTACGCAGTGTTAGACAAGATTGAACAAACTTAATGTACTATCCATCTCTATTTAGCAAACAAGGACAAATGGCATGGAGGATTGGACAGAACTCCTCAATATAAGGAACGAGAAAAAACTAAACTTTGTAAAGTATATCGTCTTATGTACAAAAGTGCACTTAGTTTCTCGGTTAAGAGTTCAATTGAAGTCAACAAAAGGAAAAACTTATTCACAAGGATCCAAATTATAGCGTTAGTGCATCTCCAAGAGAATCTTTATTTATAAAGAGCATCTTATGCAAATATAGATAGCATCTATAAATTTAGAAAGTCAAAAATTTTACACTCCAACAATATTCTTTATTTTGCTTTTCTCAAAAAATATTTATTGATTTCTTATCATATTTTATTCAACATAATTTTTTTTATGTCAACGGACAATCAATTTAAGCCCCTGTTTCACAAGCATTATTTCACAACTCTTTAATTCTCATATTCATTTTCAACCACATTTACACAATAAAATATTTTGCACCTAAACCCAAATCTTTTCCCTACTTCTTAACCACATATTCTCCAAAAAATCAATATTCTAAACTCCATTTTATCAAAATAATGGCAATCAAACATGGGTTAAATGTGTTTTGCATAGTTTAAGAAGTAGAGTATTGAAATCTGTGATTTATTAAATGCAATCATTGTACATCAAGAATAGAGAATGAGTTTGACTCTCTAAATTTGGAGAGTTAAACCCACTCTCTTCTATTTTAAAAAGTTAAAATAAAGTCTCTCGAAACTTAATTTTAAGCATGGACTCTTTAAAATAAAGGGCATTTTATAATTAGAGAATCTCTTGAAAATGCTATTAGTACAGTGTCCCACCAAAAATAATAGAGATTCATCATGGCAAGCGTATATGAACGCAAGTGATCGATTGCTTGTCCATTAGTTAATTCAATAACAAATGGAAGTATGCACCTAGTAAGGAAACTATATTAAATAAAAAATCAGTGCAGGTATTTTTTGGGGTTCTCTATATGGATTTGACCGATAGCTAGCAGAAAATTTTGCTGTAAAGCTTAAATTCAAGTCAAGAAAAGGAAAAGGAATGAAAAAGGAATGAAACTTACAGCATTAGTCTAGCGTCCCACCAAAAATAAACAATTTCAAAATACATGCCATTAATAACAAATGGGAGTCAACACTCACTAAGGAAACTACTTTATCAACAAAAATCGGGGCATGTATTTGTCGGAGTTCTCTCAGAGATTTGATCTATGTAGCAACCGACAGGTGACAAAAATATGAAAAAGAGTAAAGGAAGTCATATACCTGCAGAACAGGTTCCTTTGCAAGTATAACACTACCAGCCTGATCGGGTGGCTGAGCTTTCACAGGGTGATTTTTGACCTACAAAGAGAAGGTCATCAACTACAAGATCACAAAATTTTATCTTATGAGGAAAATAACTAACAGGAAACCATGTTCGATGACGAGATCTCATCACGTAAGCAAAATGATGCAGCCGCAACCCCAAGTAGCCATTGATGTGTGCTGCTCAGTAATTAGACAATAAAGACTTGTTTGATAAGGTGGAACGTGGACTATTAAAGAAGAAAAATAATTGCCTACTTTATTTTCGAATGTCTAGAGTACTGTCCGGGACCGCACACCTAACAACACTAAATATATATACCTAATTTCGTTCCGTCAGAAGAAGCGTTCCCAGAATTAAATTTCACAAAGCTCAAGGAGTGCTGTTGTTTTACTAATGGAAACTTTATGAACATTTTTTAGCTGGCATGAACAAATAGGCACCCTATGAAATGACAAAACATGCATGAATTCAGGCACAGGCAAACAGGAATACTTACCCAGCAGCGCATGATATCCCATATCACATCCATAGGAGCATCTGTTTTCAATCCCAATGGGTTTACATGAGTTCCAGATATATGATATCCAGCATTGATAACGGCAGAGCGAAATATAACTGCAGACGGAGACGTGCATTTCAATGTTGCACAGAGATTGTGCAAACTCAGAAATAGAGGAACATCAGGCAATTCCTGCAAAATGCACCATGTTTTATTTAAACAAAAGCTGGTCTTAACAATAAACAATCAAGACGCAGAAGTCGTAACCTATTTCTTCATTCCGTATTTTTCAAATAAGAGTAACCCAGACGGTGTGGAAACACCTATAATTTAGGCAGTTATAGAAGCCTAGTCCTCAACAAAAAATAGTAACAAAATATTCTCAAAAGTGTCACTTAGCTTTCCTTTGAAGAGGATTCCTTAAATGTGTATTGAAATTGTTCTGTTGAGCCAATTATGTGAAAGGATATAATTATTATAAAACAGTTGAACTGATATACTTGTCTTCAAACTTAAAGAGATCTCTGTGTAATTGCTTTGCAAGTCGTTATATAGAATAATAAGAAATGAAGGGTATGGGGGAGTACGTAGAGGTATCATCTGTACGTAAGCACATCTTTGTTAGAAAAATAAGCCTTAAGATTCACATTTATTAATACTACAAATTCTTAAACGTAGCAGATCTGTGATCCTCTAACTGACATTTAGAAAATCTCCATATATATTCTCTCAAGTAACTCGATGACACAACATAGTAGTGATGAAGAGCCAAATGAAATGTTTGCTAAAACAAAACAAGTGTACCTCTGAAATCGTCGTCAATACAGCTGATATTCTATCATAAGCTGGATAACGATCTTTCATGGATTTAACATCTGCTAGAATGGAAGTCACCCATTCGTGATCGTGGATGGGAGCAGACCAAATGGGCCCACCCATGTTATATTTCTTTCCACAATCACTGCACTCCTGGGGCACAGCAGGGCCAAATCCGGGGAGATATCTGACACTGGTATTCTATAGAAGAAAAAGTGGAAGACAAAAATTAAACAGATATGATAGCTGTAGAAAAAATAAGTTGCATATGACATCGTATTTCACCACACATATTACTTATGAAGTGCTCAAAATGAAATCTTTAAATCAATCAGCCTTTAGGTTCCTGATGCATGCAGGCAAAATAGCAAAATCTATGTACATTTACACAGGTTCAGTGAAGACAATTTTGCAGGCACTTGAAAATTGTAAGCCATGCAATACTATCCCATATACCTTTTCAGACCATAAAAATTTTAAAATATAATTTATAACTCAACCGTGCCAACTAAAAATTATGCAACGTCAAAATATATCAAAACCTTGTGTATAAACATGCATACCTTGGATACCGTCCTTCCGATTGGCTGGAGATGAAAAGAATCACAACCAATGCACTGATAAACATATGAAAGCTTTAAAGGAGTGTTCTTCATTGCACCTGCTGAACTGCAAACAATCACTGCATAAATCAGACATGCAAATCTAGACTGTGGCATTAAGAAGAAAAAATGTAGTCTATCTGGCTTGTCATGCATCTCACTCTACTTGCTAATACGAAAAGCAAACATGGAGCAGAAAACACTTACGAATATACACGAACAAATACGCGAACATAGAAATCCATCTGAACGGATAACACTGGAACAATGTACCGCTTGTACCGATTTGCATGACTCTGCATAACAGACAAGATCATTTCAATATGATAAATGGTATAAAATCTTTGCAAGAGTTTTCGAGAGGGATAGGCTCAGAAGTCAACAACTAATTTCAACCGTCTTGTCAAAGATGACTTCCATCTTAGGACATAAAAAAATCTAACAAGTAATCCTTTTAGGATGGAGAACATGCAAAACTAAGGCCTGGTTGGGCACCTAAAGGGAACTAGATAATAATTCTTGAAGTCACCATCAAAAAACTGATTATCATAATAAGTACAAAAAAGAAGCACCTGTAAACCCATTTGTACATAACGCCTGGGGTAATTTGAATAATTAATTGAAGATTATTGGAGGATTTTACACTGAACACATAGTCTGAGTAAACCATTTACTCAATAATCTATAAATACTCCACAATGAACTGCATAAAATAGGGCCTAAAATAGATGATGCACTCCAATAAGTGCAAAAAATATCAAAAGCATAAACAATCAAGACCGAGATTAAAAAGAATTACTGCCTAGGTTATGTAGGTACAGTGACCCTAAATGGGACAACATAGTAAAATTCTAGAGAACCTGCAGGCATCATTCACTAATCCAACGTCAAATGACAGTCGAAAAAACATGAAATACAAAATAGCAATTTGCTACCCTCTGATGTTACCTTCAGATAGGTTAATTTAAATTAGATACTTAAATTCTTTTTATCATGTTTACATGGCATCATCCAACAAGTCCCAAATGATGCACGAAGTTTACAATAACAAAGGGAAATTTAGAAAGCTTAAAGTGGCACAAATAATAGCTTAAGTTACTAAATGTTTGAATATTTACATTGAGAACTCTCAAGATTAAATACCTCAATGCAAGCAAGAAGGATTCTCAAAGCCATCTCATGGCAATATTTTCCTCTCAATGGATAAGAGCCATACCTAATTCCACAAGTAACAACAGCTCAGACCACTTTATATTTTATAAAGAATAGATAAATTGAATAAAAAAAATTAATGTTTTACCAGAGGTTAATATAAAAATAAACCTTACTTGGAATAGCAGACCTCCCCATTACCCCCACAAAGGACAGCCATATCAGTTGCAGTGCACATCAACATGCCCCCATCAACAACTGATTGAACAGCAGAGTCCAGAAAAACAGACGGAGAACCATAAGGGTCAAGATCAACCTGAAGCACAAACACCAGTATAAGAATAACAACATATAATCTGTCTTTAAGGGTAAACATCAAATATGCTTCATAAAGGTGAAAATAAAGGACATGTTTGTGACAAGCATCATTGCATGGGGCCAAATGCTATAAAGTGTAACGTTTGTGCTCCATTTCTCTTCTGCATAAGTAGAATGATATCCATGTACTATCAACTAACTCAAGCACTATATAGAGAGAATATTCGTCGCCAAAGGAAAAATTAATCGAGGACGGAAGACCCGGAAAATTAGAAAGCCAATCTCCACATGGTGAACTTCATATGAAGCTACTGAAAACATACCACTTCAAATTCTTTTGGGTGGGTGAGCATGTAAACTCGAGCATCAGCAAGGTGCGACTCCACTTTTGAGCATGCCACTGAACCATTAAATTTTATGTTTCTCCTGCAAGCTTCAACAGAAACTGCACAAGGGGGCAATATTAGCACTTCTGATTCACAAACCAAGTGAGGTTGCCAGATAAGATGCAATTTCAGAAGCAATGGAAGAAAATTTTGACATCCTCATAGTTTCTGTATATGCAAATGGTAAACACACGTGGAAAACATTGGGCTAAGATACAAATTCAGAATCAGTGAAAGAAAATTTTGGCCTCCCTCATAATCCCTGTATATGCAAAGGGGAATCACACATGGGAAACATTGGGTTAAGATGCAAATTCAAAGTCCCTGTATATGCAAATGGGAAACATGTCTGGGTAATATTGGGCACGTCAAGTTCTCAAATGGAAATAAGATCCTAATCTAGAAGACATTTTAAAATATTTCGCATGGCAATAAACAATAAATGTCCTTTTTAGTAAAATAGAAATTTTCTAACCACACTTAAAAACACGAAATTACCTTTATCGTTGTCCAAGGCCACAACTTGACCAATCCCATCAACCTCACGTGCATATCTTAAAGCTCTGAGCCCAGAAGCTGATAAAGCCTATTAACCCACGAGAGGTGCATTAGCATTAACAACTTGAAGAAAGAAAATGTGAAATGCCTATAGGAGAGCACTTGCTTGACAAGAGAAGCAACAATAATAACACAACATCAATTAGTACCTCCAGAACTCGTGGTGACTTCAGTTCTCCATGGCCCTTTCCCGCTTGGTTTGAGGATTGTTCTTCCGGGATGCTGCTGGTTTCATCTTGGGATATTTCTTTTGAGACATGACAATTACCATTGGAGTTCTCATTAGGAGTCACAGAATCCATGGTAGCTTCCACCTCAATGGTGGACACATCTGAAGCTTTCGGTCTAGTTTTCAATCTTTTAGATGATAGGGCTTCATGCTCTTGCTTGTATTTCGATACAAATGTCCTCAAAACAGCAATGGACATATCTCGATTATTAACCTAGAATAAACGAATTTTAAAGGTTTACATGTTCGCAATCACAAAGCTAAAAAACAGAGTAAGAAGAAATAGCTTTAAAATTTCTTGAACTTAAAATTTTAGGCCTGGTTATTTCAGAGTTCAAAGCATCGGATTCCAAAAACGTCAAAAGTATTCAACAAACAAGAAGCTAAAAGCTCCAATAGTAGAACAAAAAACAAGACATTCCGCAAATACCCCATCATGAAAAGGAAAAAATAAAACCCAACAAATATAAACCCAGATGCTTTAATAATTAAATTGAATGCAGAACATAAATTAACAACATAAACCGTTATTCAATAAAGATATTAATTTGTTTACAAACACAATCCATGTGCAAAAAATATGTAGGTGACAAAATAATTAACTTTTAACAAAACAAAAAATAAAATTAAAAAAGAGGACCTGAGTTTTATTGAAAAAGACTTCATTTTTGGCGTGCATTAAAATCTCTGCCTCCCCTTCTTTGATTATTGTAAAATCATTAAGATTAAAAGAAGCCACTTTGGGAGCTTCCAGCTTCTTATTCTCTTCTTCCCTAGCTTTGTCATCAGTACTAAGCATGTCGAATGATTTATTGGGATATTCTACTCTCGCGGCGGCAACGGAACGGCGGATGAGGGCGCCAACAGCGGCTGAGGGATGAGGAGGTAAAGAGGTTTTCTGCTATAAGTCGAGAGTTTGGGAATTGAGAGAATGTATAGAACTGTAAAAAATTTATTTGAAAGTATCGGACGAAGTTATCGTTGGTGTTTGTACTGCAAAAACCCTACCTGGATTTTGAGATTGTTTGCTCAATGCACTTTCAAATCGAATCGAATGGATCAAATCGAATTGAATAAAGCTTTTCTCCTTAAATATTCAAACGAGTATCAGAATTTAAAAAACATATGGGTTTGTTTGGTTATCGTTTCTAGAATCAATAATCAAATAAAAATCGAATCTTCCTATAATTTTTAAATTTTTTATACTAAATAAGTCAAATTAATTTAATATTTTCTTGTTTCATTTGCCATTTAATTAATTGAGTCCAAAAATATTATTTTTCCGTTTCATTT